ATGTCACCTCCAGAGCTGCTCTGGATGTGCTTTGTGCCTGGCCTTGAATGCTCCCAACCTCCTCATGCCCCTTCCTGAGGAGCAGCTGTCCAGCTTTGTCCTGCTGCCTGCTCCTCAGTGAGCCTGCAGGCTGTTCACCTGCCCAGGCACTGCCACCCTCATTTCCCTGTGGGGGGGCTGGGGACACTGGGATAACCGAGCACTGCCCCCATCCACAGAGCCAGTCCTTCGTCACTGAAAGCAGTCAGTTTGTCCATACTTGATTGGCCCCAGTAGTAGATCAGTACTGTTTGTTCCTAATCATCTTCTTGTCCTTCTGATGCCTGGAAATGTTTTCCTTGAGGTCTTGCACCATAATTTTTACAGGCACTGAGGTGAAGCTTTAGCCCTTAGCTTTCTGGATGCTCCTTGTCTTTTAAGCCAGAGAACAGACACTTCAACTCTTATTATTGTATGTCTCTTTGTGTCTAAAACAGGAGCATTTTGGAAGTGTTAATGCATTTGGCTAAATCCCAGATAACTGGGAACCCTTCCTGTCAGTACCACTCTTGGTCTGAGACAGAGTGACAGAGTTGTCAGATGGATTATCAACAAACAGTATTAGAAATTATTTAGTTTCTTAGATTTGGCAGATGAAGAATGTTTAGTTAATATAGTTAGGGAAGAAAGGATATGTATTTTCCTTGTTCTGAGTAATTATTTTTCTGTACTTTTCTATTAATCTAAAATTTCTTCTCTTGAAATTGCCAGGAACTTTGGACATTAAGCGATTACCAGTGATATTATTTCTGAGTAGTGACTAAGACAGTGTCTTGCTTGTAGAATATAGGTATTTTATTAAAAGAGCTGCAAGTGCCAAGAAAATCTGTTTCATAAGATTGCTGATGGAGATTTAGCCTTGAGCATTGTCTGAACTTCAGTATGTAGCAAAAAGGTGGGAATTAGATTATCTTGGGGTTTTTTGTTTTTGTTTTTGTTGGTTTTTTGGTTTTTTTTTTTTTTTGGGGGGGTTTTTGTTTTTTTTTTTTTGGGGGGGTTTTTGTTTTTTTTTTTTTGGGGGGTTTTTTTTTTTTTTTGGTGGGGTTTTTGGTTTTTTTTTCTGTCTGAGTACTAGAAAGGTAGTAACAGGGAGCTGCATACCAGGGCTTGCACTTTCAGCCTTGAGCATTGTCTGAACTTCAGTATGTAACAAAAAGGTGGGAATTAGATTATCTTGGGGTTTTTTGTTTTTGTTTTTGTTGGTTTTTTGGTTTTTTTTGGGGGGGGGGGTTTTTTTTGGGGTTTTTTGGTTTTTTTTCTCTCTGAGTACAAGGAAAGGTCGTAACAGGGAGCTGTATACCAGGACTTGCACTTTGCACTTAATTGCTTTAAGTTCTCTTGACTTTGACACTAAAACTTGCTAAATCTAAGTATGGATGTTCTTACCATTTATTTGATGTCAGCTATCTTTGTGGAGTTCATCACAGAATTTTGAGTCTGTGGGAGTGTGTATTTTGCTGTACTAGATAGCACCTTTATGGAAAACTTGGAATCCTTTTCTGATGAGCACTCTAAGATACCATACCCAAGGAATAGGAGTTATCTGAAAGGAAGCTGACTTTTGCTACAAAGATTCTGTGCTTCCCATTTTATCATGTCAACAGATGGGAAAAGATAGAAATCATTTTTTGGCTAGACTATCACTGCACAGATTCCTAATTTTATCATTTAGGCCTTGCAGGAAAGGAGTGTTTTATGTTCTGTCTTGTCTTCAGGAGACCAAATTGAATTTTATAATGCTTCTTCATGTACTAATTTTTTAAAATTTCTAATAATTTTTTTTTCATAATGTCTCCATTTAGTTCAAATTTTTTTTTTTTTTTAGCTGAGCAGAGAAACTTGAATTAAAGTGCTTCAACTGAGGCCTTATCAGTGCCAAGTGGAGTGGAAGGGCATCACCTGTCTTTCTTGGATGACACGCAAAGGAAGAGCTATTGATTTTGTCCCAGAGACAGTCTGAGTCATGGCTTTGTCAGACAGCTTTATCAGCCATTGGTTAGCTTGGCTGAGATATGATTTTTGGCCACTTTTGACTAACACAAAAATCCCAGAGGGAAATCAGAAGGTGCAGTGCACTTGTTCATGATAATTGCTGTGGCAACCATGGCAATCTGACAATTTCCTTAAACATCTATCAATCCACTGTTACAATTAACTCTTCTGCTAGACATTGACTCATGACAAAGAGATGATCCATCATCCTAATCTTCCTTTTCTGCTTTGGGGAAAGTAAGCTACTTGGCTGAAAATCAAAAGTTGACCTAATGCATTTGGTACAGAAGAAGGAAGTATCTGTAAGAAAGATAGAGACTAAAACCAATTTTAGCTGGACTGTGATCAGTGATGTTCCTTTTTTTTTCTATTAGATCTCCTAAGGCAAATGTATCATTTACTTGTGCCTTGGGAAAATGAAGTTAAGCAAAGTTTTATTGATTGTGAAGTAGCTCATCTGGGAAGAGCTTCAGAACAACGTGCGAGGCTGTGCTTATTCAGCACGTGCTGCTGGGCAGTGCCTGTGCTGGGGACAAGCTCACTTGTGATTCTGTGTGTGCAGTTGCACAGGGTCTGTGCTGCCAAGGGCCTGGGCGTGTGTGATACACAGATGGATGGCATTGGGCAGGCTCCCTGGGACCCCTGACGTGTGGCCATGGACAGATGGAGCAAGAAAACCTTGCACTGCTTTTCTAGTACGAGGTGGATGGACAAGGCAAAATTAATAAAATCTGTATCCCTCTTTGTTGTCCTTAAACACAGTATCTGAGAGCATGCATCACAGTCTAATTTATATCCAATTCTAAAATGGCTTAGATGTAGTCTTGCCATACATACAGGTCTAGGTCCATTTCTGTGCAGCGCCTGCTCTCAAGTTTGCTGTTCCATAAAAGTGTTGTTTGTGACAGCCCTTAGAAAGGTTGGGGAACTTTCTACCATGTGTTCCATTTGTACAGTATGTTTGTGAGACCATGGGCAGTTTTATTTTTTAATGCCCCTGAGATTCCTATCATATGAACTAACCAGGTAACTGATCTTCCATTATGGAGGTTTTGCTTGGTAGGTGCCAGAAGAGCCCTGCCTTTCTGTTTACACAGGATTAAGCCCTTTAATTGCTGTCTTTGCTGGACAGTAAAAAGCAGTGTATTCTTCACAGCAAGGCCCTTAAAGTGATGGTTGTACTATCCATTCTGTTGTTGACTCTGCTAACACATGGCCAGTAATAAAACTAATACAAGGGTGGCCTGTACTGCTTCATTTTGGACGTAACTGTGGCATTTTTAGTCATTTCTCCTGCGTTCTGTGTGTGTCAGACCTCTCTCTCCATCGCTGTGCATGTAGACAGACTGGTTTGTTTGGAAGCCTCCCCCTGTGGAAGCACACAGGAAGAGATGCCTGGAAAAGGAAAGGTGAGATATAACCTGTACAGCACAGGTTAGAGCCTGGAATGTCTTTCTGCACCTGCTGATTTGGCCCCTTCTTTCCAGCTGGATGTGTTGTGTCTGACACTGGAGGAGCTGAGGTAGCTGCCCAGGCTCTGAGTGCCCTGTTCGCATGGAGCTGTCAGTCTGTGGGTGCAGATACCAAATTTGCACATGCTGAACGCGCAGTGCTGACAAAGTCAGCGTTGCTAAACTCCTCTTTCTGTGCTCTGTGGAGAGGTGACATGGATCTGAAAAGGATAAGGATGTTTTATGTTTACAGACACATTTTGTGATGCAGCCGTTTCATAAGCTGAACTGGAAATCATAGGTTTTTGCATAGGCAGAATCCCAGGGTAGTCATGCCAGACCCAGTTAGTAGTTTAGGATTACCTAATGGTGTGTTTCATCTGTCTAAGTTACTGTGATTGTCTAATTTATTGGATAACATAAAACATAATTTAATACTCATGTACAGAATGGCAGTCATGAATTAACAAGAAACCTGTGAGCTCTGAATTAATTCATGGCTTAGTGCAAGGGAAGTTTCACTGATATTTCTGAAGATGGAGCAGACCTATTGCCTTCACAAAATATGCTTCTAATGTTCTTGTTGTACACTTTTTTCTGAGACAAAGCAGATTGCAGATGTGTGTAGGAAAAGAAATTCAGTACCAGCACTAATGGGGAAGTTTTAGGAGGCATTTAAGCTTAAAAGCAGTAAACATATTAGCATTTAAAGACATATTTTATGATGCTACCTTTGTACCATAAGTTTAATTTTATATTTGCATTACTTTGCCTAAAAAAAATAGGAGTATGTCCTTCAATATTGGTTGTATAGATGGAAATATTAATGTACCATGTAATTGTTATCTCTATAGTTCTTGATATTATTGTCGTCTAGCTTGATTTGAATCCTTACTCGTACTTGTTATGCTTGGGTTTAGGACCAGTCTTTAGTATCAATATTTTTTCCTTTGTCTTTGTCCTTCCTGCTGATGATTTTTCCCCCATTTCTACATATTTGAGTATCAAAGAATGGTGTGGTAAGTACAAATTGCCAATTGAAAAATTTATATTTAGAAAGATAGAGGGGTGATAATTTACTTCAGAGTTTGATTTAGCATGGGCATCCTAAGGCATTGATGTAAAAGAAATTAGTTTAGCTGTTGGGCAATTGTTTGTCATTGGAGACTCATCTCATTATGGAAGATGTTGTCACAGTGGCTTAAGAAGGTTTCAACAATAATGTAGCAGCTTTAATAATTTTTTCTTTATTTTGCAAATATCTACTTTGTATGTAAGGTTTTGTATGTAAGGCTTTCATATTTTTATAGCACTTTCTGACTCAATATTTTATTGTTGCTCTTGCTTATAGGAGAGTATTACATTGCCTTTGAATTGTAGGAATCAGTAAATGTTTAGGAGAACGCTGAGGCTGTTCAGCGTCGGTTTGCCACTGTAAGTTTTGCAGCCTGCTGGGCTGTGTAAGCGGTGTGTGAGTGCCTAAGAGGTGGGTCTAAAGCAGTGCCCTTGTGCTTGCAGAGAGCCACATCCTGGAGGACGTGAACCGCTGCATCGTGGCGCTGCGGGAGCAGGACGCCGAGGGCCTGGACTGTGCTGCGGGCGCCATCCGCGGCCGCGCTGCCAGGGTCGCGCACGTCGTGGCCGGGGAGATGGACAACTACGAGCCAGGAGCGTACACCCAGGGGGTCATGGGCCACGTGCAGCATCTCTCCGGGGCTGGTAAGGCCGAGTGAGGAGCTTTCATTGCGGGTCAACTTTCCTAGGAGCGCTGTGCTTGACGTGAATCCTGTGGGTCGCTGGTGTCATGCATGGATCGTGCACCAATCATTCCCTCCGAGCTCTCTACTCTTCTTTTAGCACGCTGCTGAGTTAGGATGAGACCATGTGGTTCAAAACTAATTTTTAACGTTTTGTTTGAATTACATGATCTCTGGAAGGTTTCTTGAGTTATGGAACCCCCTGTTACTGGTGTCCTTAATGCGTGTAACATTGTTTGGAGACTTGTAACTACTGAGGTAGCAGCTTCCCGCTTTATTGAGCAAGCCTCACCATTCCTGCTCTAAGCAGATGAAAGGCAAGCTCAGAGGAGGTGCATGATTTGTGAGTACTTCCACTTTAAAGACTGTTAAGCAGTAATCAGATGTCCCGAAAAGTCTTCAGTTTTGCAAAACAAATTTGAAACTTTCTAAAATGCTTAGCAGTCTCCTTTCTATTTCCATAATATTAAAAAAGAGGGCATCTTATATTGGAAAATGCCTGTACTGGCCACAGGGGGTGTAACTGCACTATTCTATAAATGGTTCATGTGTTTTCCATAAATGAATCTCTGGCTTTTCATAATGTGTACTTAATTTAAAAAAAAAATAAATCTATGTAGTTCCCAGTACTTCCATGTTTTAAATGGCTGCAAGTCTCATAGTGGGCAGTTAAACTGCTCCTAAGAGATTTTCTGGCATGTCTGTACATCCCTGGAATATAGGATTTGGCTTCCTGAACTCAGAGGTCTAATTCCTTGCTCTTTCAATCTAAACAAATGTCTAGTACCTTACATTTAACTGACATTTTACCACAAGAAAAGACAGGAATTTTGTTTGAGCTCTTACTTAGTAAGTTCAAATATGTTCAGGGCAGAACTGTCCTCATGTGAACAGAAGTAAACTGACATTGCAGTGAAGTGGCAAAAGAGAACAATGGGAAGAGTTTGAAATAGTCTTGCCTGTTTTTATCCTGTTTTCCAATGTTTTGATGGGAAAATTGAAAAGTTTTCACCACTGCACTCCTTTCTTCATGATTTCTGGAAGTGCTGTCATGAATACTGAGAGGGAAGCAGCATAGAAAAGCATAGTTTAGATTCTCATGTAAAAGCTGAGCCTGTTTTTCTTCAAACTGATAGTATTTAACGACATTGGGAGTTGACATTGATTTCTGTTCTGTTGCCTTGCTTTGACAATAATATATATAATATACCCAAACCTGTCTGTCTGCAGAAGATGGGGAGGCATAAAACTGGTTGTGGTTGGAATGTTTGCTTGTTTCAAGGGACATCAAGCATGGTCACATCTCAAATGACTTTGCACTACTTCAAAGTACTTCAAATTTATGTTGTTCAATAGGAGTGCAGAAAAGACACACATACTTCTCATATTCACCTGTATTTATATGATCTGCAATGAACAGATATTGAACTTGCTTGGTTTTGTTTTAACTTTTTCAGCTTACAGGTAAAATGCAGGTAAGTTGTAGCCCACAGGTGTGACCTAAACCATTCTATCCCAGCTGGGTCTTTCCGGTCTAGCTGATTGCAAGGGGAAAGTTCACCTGGAGAGAACTCTATATTGATGCTGCCATAAACCCCTCAGTTAACTTCCACAATGACCTCTGGCAGTGAAGGGTATCCTTTATGCCTAAGGAAGAGGTAAAGTGTTACTCATGAGAAATTACTGTAGGCAGAGTATAGAATTAGTGAAAACAAAATTAAAGACAAGGAGCATACGTGGAAATAGCAGAGAACTAAAAACAGAGATGGAAGAGTGTCTCTTGAGCTGGACGACATCAGACGTATTCAAGACAAAGTGAGCTATTCCACAGTAGTATCTTAATTCTGCCACAAAATGAGTATTAAAAACTGGAGCTTAATTTCTTAGCTCAGGTGTAGTCTGGTGTACTGTGGGCAGCCAAGTGCATCTCTACTCTACAGCACCATGCAATGGAGGGTCCTCTTTCTCAGGCATATTTGTCTTGTTCCTCTGTTTATCCCTTCCCTTTCCCTGAACAGGAAGGAAAACCCTGAGAAGACTAACGACAAGGCTCTGTAAAAGCCCCATCTATGGAGCGGAGCTGAGCTTTCAGAAGTTAAAGAATACCAGAGCTGCAGTTGTTTTTGCAGCCTTGACATGCCTTGGTTTGCCCTCTGTGTGTGTGACGTGCCTTAGGACACGGCGGTTATGTGATCATACCCAGATGTGTCACCAAACAGCTGCTTTGTGCAGGTCACTGCATGGGCGTGTGCCAGGACCACGGATTAGGGCAGAGAAGGCTGCTGTCCACAGGCTCAGTGTAGAACATGAAGAAGCACACAGGACTGTGGGAACAGAGTGCATGAGCTTGTGTTGGACATAGTTATAGAGGGACTTGGTGATATTGGTCTTTCTGGACCGACTCTGTGGTTGCACTGGCAGGGCTGTGCCGAGCTCCTGCTGATGCTGCTGGTACCCAGCCCTGGAGTGCAGGGCTCCTCCCCAGCTGCTGCTGTGAGGGGGCAGCGCTGTGCTGGCTGTGGTCACACCGCAGTGACCCCGGGCCGTTCCCTGTCCCCTGCTCCCGGCTTTCTGGGGGAGCAGCGTGCAGATGTGTGGGCAGAAAGAGCGGCAGGACGGTCCCAGGCCCCAGGGCAGGTGGCTGTAAGGCACCTTGAGCATCATGGCCCAAGTCTGTGTGAAACCTGGGGGACCTGGAGAAGATGCTCAGCCATGGGGGTGTGTGTTCTGGGTTTAGCCCAGCAGTGCCTGTTTGACTGTACAAGGGTAAAGTAGATGAGCTTGAGGCTGTGTTCTCGTGTGGTTAAGGCTGTGAAATCTCCATTGCTGGTGCCTCTGTCATTCCTAATGTCTGGCACTGTTTATTAGATTTAGATATGCAGACTGTTGCATTTTGGTAGGGTTTGTGTACTGTTGTATCAAAGCAAAATGAAGCCTTTAGGAACTCTGTCTAAAAAATCCTAAGGTATTTCTTCTTCAGAACTGGAAGGGTGAGCTTGTTCTGTACTTTTAAATACCAGTCTCCTCTGTTATTTTATTGCCTGCCAGAGTCTGCAGCAGTTAAATTTAAGTCAACAATTTATATTATGGCATATATCTGTTGGTAGAGTAAAAAGTCTGTATTGTAAATTTGGTCTGCAGTTCTGCTTTAATGCCAAAGTATAATGATATATATATATGTGTAAATACATAAATTCTTTAATTACTTTGATGTCTACAGATCTTGTAAAAAAACAAGGAAAAGTGTGGAGACAAAGATGGGAAGTATTTTAACTGCCTCAAGTCTGCAGTGGGCCAAAGACATTTAGCTTTTAGACTCTTACTGGGGTGCTTGGGTTTGTGTTCAGTGATTTTCTTCAAAACCTTCACAGCCTTCAGTTACATTTTGGCAGCATATTTTAACATACTATGTGCCAGTACGAATGAATTAATTTTGTTATACTAATGTGTGTATTTATTTCCTGGTCCCAGGATTGCTATTTCGGTCACCTTCCAGTTTGCCCTTTCCCTTCATAGCCCTTTCAGTGTGGTTGCTTCTACAGCCCTATATTAATACTGATCTACTACACATGAAACAGAGCTTTCTTGTACAGTAATTTATTAATTGTTTCTCCAGGGTGGATTAAATCTACTGCATTGCTTTTCTCTGGGAAAAAGTAATTTACCTTAGCCATAAAAAGACAGTGGTTTCATGACACAAGCCTCCTTCCATCTTGGGCTTTTTATTCAGCTTTTCCATTTCTTGCAAGCCTATGTGCACAAGCTAATGGCTTGTATTTTCCTGGCTGTTTCACTTGCCTTTTTCAATTCCAGTTTACAGGTTTGTCACAGCAGCTTCTGTGAAATGACTGGCAGTTTCCTTTGTCCCCTGCCTCGAGTCTTCTGCAGTAGGGATTGTCTGTTCTTCTTTGGAAATGTGACTCTCTTTTGCCCAAAAGACACCCTCCGGAGAGGAGATGCAAAAGGGGCTGTCTGTATTCTCCTGCCCACTCTGACATTTAGTACTTATTTTGTCATCTTCTGGCAAAGCCACCTGAGCCAGCGTGGGGGGAGAGGAGCACTTGCAGAGACTTCACTGGCTTTTCCTAAGGTGTATCTTCAGGCAGGATCCTGAGATGGGGTGAGTGGGCAGTTGAAGGTCCTTACCTCTTGTTGTAGAACAAAAGATACCAATATGGCCAACTTTATTGTAAATTATTTATTTAGGGCTGACTAAAATGAGGTGAATGGACCTTATTCATTCTGTGGGGTGCCCAGAAAATCATAATTTTTTTATTAATTTAGAAAGATTAATTTAGAATTTTATTAATTCAGAAAGTTTTTAATGAAAAAGTATTTTCACTAGTTGTTCAGCACTGTCAGAATAAGATCTAAAGAGAATAGTTGCTGTTCAAGTCTGTTTAGTGTTCAGTGATTGTTACTCTTGCTTATGAAACCCAAAGACTGCTGAAGAAGAGGACTGACTCCTGTCACTTGAAAATACATAAAAAAAGAAAATCCCCAAAACATTTGAAGAAGGAGAGAGGTCTGAGCATGCAGGCTTATGGGATTGGTGAACTTGTGAAACAGGTGCACAACCCTGACAAGGAACATTTTATTAAGCAACTATTCAGGAGAATTATTGTAAGAGCTAAAAGGAAAACAAAAATGGGCCAAGAAAAATACTGAGGGTATTTGCATGGCTTAGTCTAAAATATGCCTTTTGAGTTTCAGATATTGTAAGATAATAACTTAAGAAGTAGCTTTTGATTCTTGTGGTTTTTACTGTGTTACAGAGTCAATAACCTCCACTTGGTAGAGTCTGCAGTGAGGCTTTTTTTTTTTTTTTGTAGGGCTCTGTTTGGATCCTTCTGTGAAATTCTGTTAAAAATGCTGGCTTTAGAAATTGGATTTTGCTTCTGATGTAAGAATGTTCTGAAAAATAGGGGGAAAGACCAACTTTTTTTGGGTTCCAGGCAATCA